ACCCTAAACCCTAAACCCTAAACCCTAAACCCTAAACCCTAAACCCTAAACCCTAAACCTCTATCATGATCCTTATTAGGTACTGTTCGTATAAGGGGAACATCCCAAAGCAAGTGCATCAAGGATGATGACTTTCTGGCTTTAGGGTTGCGAGGCTTTGGGGCGGTTAGGTTCCGCACCTATGTGCTCTAAACCCTAAACCCTAAACCCTAAACCCTAAACCCTAAACCCTAAACCCTAAACCCTAAACCCCAGCCGGAACCTGACTTCAGGTTCCTGAGTTCGTGGTAGCAGTCAGGATAAACGGGACTCCGGATGCCAGATGCCCCTGCAGGGCTTTCTGATAGGAGTGATTGCTACTATTTGCTTAAGAACCCCCCCAAAACAAAAAAACAAGACATAAACATCATTCTTCTAATACAGGGTGATATAGGGATTCTGTCTTTTGCATTTGCCTTATCAGGGTAATATAGGAATAATATTTGTTTGTTCTTTTTGAGGGTTCTGATAACAAGCAAAGAGAAGATTGAGGCTCCTGTCTTGTGCTTGGGTGCACAGTTCTTAAGGGCTCTAACCCTAAACCCTAAACCCTAAACCCTAAGCCCTAAACCCTGAACCCGAAACCCTAAACCCTAATCCCTAAACCCTAAACCCTACACCCTAAACCCATCATGTTATCGTAGTGCACAGGTTCTTAAGGGCTCCTCGAGCTCGACCCGCAGCGCCGTCAATGGATCCTGCGGGGAAGGCGGCTAGATCACAGTGGGGGCTTTAGGGTTTAGGGTGTAGGGTTTAGGGTTTAGGGTTTAGGGGTTTCGGGTGTTTCGGGTTTGGGTCTTAGGGTTTCGGGTTTCGGGTGTTTGTGATTAAGCACGAAAGGAAGAACTTGTTGGCATGCAAGACCAACGCAATAGCAAGACAACTTAGGCAGAATTTTCAAACGTGAGCGTAAAAAAGTTACATCAACCATGATGTCAAAAAACACAACGATCATCAACCGCGATGCATCACTGCGGCTGTCTTGACCAGGACCATGCCACAGACAGGTCTCACTTTGAGACGGTTGAACTCAACATCGCGATGCCAAGAGGCACATGATGCTAGATTCGAAACCTGCGAGGCTACAAATGATTCCATAACACAAGCTCAGGTAGTTGCGGCGAAACGTGCAATCTCAGCTCAGCTTCTGGAGCTACAACCAATCATCTTCTGGCAAGGAGCTCCGAGCGGGAACAGCCCACAACCATTCGTACAAGCATGGCAAGGGCAACAACAGTGCTCCTGACCATTAATTACTTAACTTTCATCTGGTCTAGGCAAGTAGCTTCGGGTTTACGGCTTAGGGTTCTGGACCTTCTAACTTCTCTTCAGGTTCTGCTGATTACGCTGACGTGTTTGCAACTTTTCGTGCTGCGAAGGCTGGAAGGGGATGAGGGGGGTTGGGGGCGGGTGGGGGATCGCTGGCTCATGTGAGCTCAGAAGTATCTCAGAAGCAAAGGTTTAGGGTTTAGGGTTTAGGGTTTAGGGTTTAGGGCTTAGGGCTTAGGGCTTAGGGCTTAGGGTTTAGGGTTTAGGGTTTAGGGTTTAGGGTTTAGGGTTTAGGGTTTAGGTTTAGGGTTTGCTTCTGCAGGGCTGAGGAGTTTTTTGGTTCAGGGTCGTAGGTTTTAGGTAGTGGGGACCCCCAGAAGGGACCCCTTGTTTCTAGTTCAACCGTTGAAAGAACTGACTCAAGATTGCCAACAACTTTTGACTATCACTCTACACGCTCAACTGTTATGGTTCCGGCTATAGGGTTTTGGGTTTTTAGGGCTCAGCAAGGTTTACGGCCAAAGTGAGGGACTGGCATGTGGGCACTTCTCTAAAATCTCGTCCCTTTTTGGGGTCCTTATTGTAAGGTGGCCCCGCTTATTTAGGGGAGGGACCATAACTTAGAGAACTGGCCATGTCATGTAGTGCGAGCCCTGCACCCTAAACCCTAAACCCTAAACCCTAAACCCTAAACCCTAAACCCTGAACCCTGAACCCTGAACCCTGAGCTCCTGGAAACAAGTGGGGAAACAACAAAAACTTTGGTTAAAAAGGTACAAGAAAGTCCCCAAGTCCCTCAACACGCCATCCCACCCGAAAGCCCACATCAAAAATCCCAAGCAGACCGACTCTGGGGGTTTTTGGGCTTGGGGTTTAGGGTTTAGGGTTTGGGGTTTAGGGTTTAGGGTTTTGGGGTTTTGGGGTTTAGGGTTTAGGGTTTGGGGTTTAGGGTTTAGGGTTTAGGGTAAGCGTCTACCCCAAAACCCTACGTCCGGGTGTCTGTTACGGCTGGGCCGCGGAAAGAGGCGGGAGGGGGGGGGGGGGGGCAGCACACGTTTCTTGGAAGGCTGCGCCAAACACTAAACCCTATAAACCCTGAAATCCCTATAAACCCTATAAACCCCATGAACCCGGTAAACCCTATAAACCCAAGAAACTCTATGAACCCTATAAACCCTATAAACCCTATAATCCCTGTAAACCCTATATAGCCCTACAAACCCTTCAAGCCCTATAAACCCTGTATAAACCCTATAAACCCAAGAAACCCTGTATAAACCCCATAAACCTTATATCAACACTATAAACCCAATTAACCCCTATTAAACCCTATTAAACCCTATTATTAAGCCCTATAAACTCAAGAAACCCTATAAACCCTATAAACTCAAGAAACCCTAAACCCCATAAACCCTGAACCCTCTAAAGCCTCTAAACCCTCTAAGCCCTCTAAGCCCTCTAAACCCCAAACCCTAAACCCTCTAAACACTCTATATAAACCCTCTAAACCCCAAACCCTAAACCCTAAACCCTACAAACCCTCTAAACCCCAAGCCCTAAACCCTAAACCCTACAAACCCTCTAAACCCCAAGCCCTAAACCCTACAAGCCCTAAACCCTAAACCCTAAACCCCAAACCCTAAACCCTACAAGCCCTCAACCATCTAAGCCCTCAACAACCTAAAGCTCCCGACTCCCCGCTCTGAGCCAAGGCTCCTCCGGCATGCGCTTGACACCAACCAGCTTCCTTGGCTCTGGGTTTAGGGTTTAGGGTTTAGGGTTTAGGGTTTAGGGTTTAGGGTTTAGGGTTTAGGGTTTAGGGTTTAGGGTTTAGGGTTTAGGGTTTAGGGTTTAGGGTTTAGGGTTTAGGGTTGCACGGTTTTTATAGGGTTATAGGGTATTGTTGGGTAATAGGGTTGAGGGTTAGAGGGTTTAGGGCTATAGGGTTAAGGGTTTCGGGTTCAGGGTGTGTGTGTGTGCGCGCGCGCCCCGACTTGCGGTTTGCTTCAGGATGCTTGCGGTACAGCTATATATAGCTTTAGCCGACCCATGTGTGTGCCTCTACTGCCCACATCTGGCTTAAGCAGCAGGCTAAAGGCACGCCCATCCGATGGAGAGCCCCAGTCCCCGTTCTCACATAACCCTAAACCCCAAACCCCAAACCCGAAGCCCTAAACCCCAAACCCCAAACCCCAAACCCGAAAACCCCCAACCCCCCTCCCGCCAACGGCTTTCAACCTCGGACCCTGCCTGTGCGCCCTACAAACCCTGCAAACCCCCCAAACCCTAAACCCTAAACCCTAAACCCTAAACCCCAAAAGCGCAATATGGGCCCAAAGACCCTTGAAGCCCTCAACCCGAAACCCTCATTTCCCTTGAAACCGCAATCCCGCACCCTAAGACCCTTCGCCCTCAACCCTAAACCCTGTAACCCTGAAACCTATACAAGTTTAGGGTTTAGGGTTTAGGATTAGGGTTTAGGGAGGTCGGAAGAAATGCAAAGAAGAAGTGTCTTCGATGAGACGTGCATTTCCTGGTGACGACGAGATGCCTTGCTCACATTCCTCGTGCTGCCTTTGACACCCTAAATCCTAAACCCTAAACCCGAAATCCTAAACCCTAAATCCTAAACCCTAAACCCGAAATCCTAAACCCTAAACCCTAAAGCCTAAACCACCTCTCGGCCGGCTTACTCCTTGGCACCATCGAGGAGTCGACGGATCTGGCCGCCCGGCATGGCAGATGTGGGGCAGCAGCGCCGGCGCGCTTGAGCGTGTGCAGGTTTAGGGTTTAGGGTTTAGGGTTTAGGGTTTAGGGCTAGAGTTTAGGGTTTAAGGTTTAGGGTTCAGGGTTTAGGGTTTAAGGGTTTAGGGTTTAGGGTTTAGGGTTTAGGGTTTAGGGTTTAGGGTTAGGGGCTCAGAGCTCGGATGGATAAGGAGGGCTGGGTTTCGAATCTTGATTTAGCCATGCTGTTTAGGGCGTATCTCATTATCTCTGGGCGCAGGGAGGGCACAGAGCATCGCGGATCAAAGAGTGCCTGGTCAAGAAACACGGTGTCTAGCTGCAACTGGAGTTATTCCCTAAACCCTAAACCCTAAACCCTAAACCCCAAACCCCAAACCCTAAACCCCAAAACCCTCTATACATCCACAAGCAGGTCTCAAGGGCTTGCTCTTCAAGTTGATCCCTTTGTGGGCGTCCTTGTTGTGCAGAATGCTTGGGATGGTAACCGGTAGCCCAGTAACCATACTATAACAAGGGCACTCCTTTTTGGGGGTAGTTACTCTATAAGGGAACCCTTGAACCCAAAAAAGGGAAAAGGGTACCACTGGGCTGACTCAGGCAAGCCCTCATACGATTTAGGGTACCCATGCCATGGGCTGAGAAAGGCTCAGAGCTACGGCTGCGGAACACACTCAGACCCATCGCGTTGTCGTAAACCCTACCACCCTAAACCCCAAAACCCAAAACCCAAAACCCTAAACCCTAAACCCTAAACCCCAAACCCTAACCCTAAACCCTAACCCTTAAAACCCTATACCCTAAGACAGATTCGGCTGCAGCGACTCAGGGCTTTGAAAGGTGCCAGCTCGCGCTTCAAGTCTCGAGCTCTTATGCTTCCGTGGCTTCGGGTTCAGGTTTGGGGTTTAGGGTTTAGGGTTTAGGGTTTAGGCTGAGCCGTGTCCGGAATCCTGGTGCCCGTTGCACAGCGCGGAGCAGTCGCTCCAACGCGCCCACTCGCCCCAGGCACAGTCCACCTCTGTGGCTGGGGTTTAGGGTTTAGGGTTTAGGGTTTATAGGGCTTAGGGTTTAGGGTTTAGGGTTTAGGGCTTAGGGCTTAGGGTTTAGGGTTTAGGGTTCAGGGTTTATTGGGGATGGGCGAAAAAAGGCCAAGTTCGACCGGCCACTTGTAGCAAAAAATGCCCAAATAGCCTCAAACCCTAAACCCTAAACCCTAAACCCTAAACTCTAAACCCTAAACCCTAAACCCTAAACCCCAAGGGTTCCTTCCTTCAGGTATCTCCAAACAGGGGCCTTACAAGCTTTGGTGGCCCTCTGCAAGTAAAACCTTTGGGGTCTAGGGGTTTAGGGTTTAGGATTTAGGGTTCACGGGTAGCCCAGTAACCCTAAACCCTAAACCCTAGACACCTTGAGACCCTAACTCTCCCTGGAACCCTCCAAAAAGGGTAAAGCCTAGTCGTCCAGTAACCTGGGGGAATTGAAGGCTAACCTTTGGAGTTATAAGGGGGTTCTACTATCCCACAAAAAGCTAAAGATTATCTACTCCACGACTAGGAAAGGGTATGACTGGGCCACCAAGTAAGGGCCCTCGCCAAAACGGACCTTTGGGCGGGGAAGGTTGAAGGTTGGGATGTCCCCCCTTATACTCACGGTCCTTAATAGGGATTAGAGTACCACCTAGTATAAGATTAAGGACTGCTAGAAAAAGGGGGAACGTCCCAAGCTTAGAGTGCAGCGATTGGGGGTCCAGGGCGCATCAGGCTGTGGTCACTGTTTGGGTCCCCCTTTTTTCTCAAATGCAAACACTTCTCGACTGCTTGCTTCAGAACCCCCCCCCCACCCCCCAAAGGAAAAAAACACAACAATAATAATGATAAAATAAATCTTCCTCAAGAGGGCAATATGAGGATTCTTTCTTCTTGTTTTCAACCCTCGGTGTGGGGATGTTCTCAACTCCTCCGCTCTTCTCCTAGCCCCGTCTACTTGTCCTCGGTGCCCAACCCCAGAGTATCTCTACCCAAAGAAGGGGTGATTGGCTTTGCGTTTAAAATTCTGACCATGCCGAAGGTCCCCTGCTCCCTTTGCGGACCCTAAAGGGGCCTAGCACGTACGAGTTTATCTCTTGAACCCTGGACCCTAAGCCCTAAACCCTAAACTCCAAACCCTAAACCCCAGACCCTGTAGAACCACCCATGGAGGCCTGAGGCACCGCCGTGCAGGGCTGGGTGTTGCACTCATGGAACTCCTGGCGGCAGTAATGATTAGTTAGGGTTTGTAGGGTATACGGCTGCATATTCGACCTTGTAGAGCTGTTTGGGGTGTTAAGGCTGTAGGGTTGATAGGATTGAGGGGATTATGGTCTCACGCGGTTTAGGGTTTGCAAGGTTTAGGGCAAGTTTAGGGTTTAGGGTTTACATAGGGCTTGTAGGGTGTAAGGGGTACAGGGTTGAGGGTTTGAGACGACAGGAATTCTACCTGCCAGGGACCCCAACTTTGCCTGCTTTGCAAAAATACCTACGGAAATGTATATGGGTTTACGGTTTAGGATGTAGGGTTTAGGGTTTACGGAGCGCCTAAAGTCGCCCCTTCTACGCCCCAAAAGAGGGTGCGACCCCGAAAATCGGTCTTCGCCTCTACGCACCCATTACAGCCCCCGGATGCGTCCTCCAGGTCACCCTGACACGGCTTTCCGCCTTCAGAGGCCTGCATGGCGGCTCAGGGCTTAAAGAATCAAAACGGCCGCCTTCGCTCAACACCCAAAGTATGCCGAAGCACAAGCCCTCAAATGACCTGAACAACACTCTAAACCCTAAACCCTAAGCCCTAAACCCTACACCCTAGAGGACGAACCCTTGAGCCTGAGCCTTTGATTTCCTCATCCAAAAAATGTATGGGGGCTTCCGAAAGTAGGGGTACCTTGTTGGGGTCCATATGATAAGGGAATTGTGCTTTCGTAAACCCCCATATTGACGTAACGCTTAGAATTACCCGAAACTCCCACATCCCAACTTGAACCCATCCCTCCAAAACTACTATTTGCTTCAGAGCCCCCAGAGAGTACCAAGACTCTTCCTTCTTAGGGTCATACAGGGATCGTTATCTTCCTCTTTGTTTTTCTTGTTTTTTTTTTTTGGGGGGGGGGGGGGGTTCCTAAGCAAAAAGCCCTAAGCCCCAAGCCCTAAGCCCTAAACCCTGTAAGGGGTTCTTAAGCAACAAGTAGAACAGAGCAGCGTCTTTTCCCTCACACCCAGCTTTGGTAGAGTTCGGCACCCCGGAGGAAGTCCTCCCTCGTGGCAACCAGGCCTTGGCCATGTTGTCTTGTACTTGTATGGTTTAGGCTTTAGGGTGGGTTTGGGGTGGTTTAGGGTTTAGGGTTTAGGGTTTAGGGTTTAGGGTTTAGGGTTTGGGGTTTGGGGTTGAGGGTGTAGGGTTCAGGGTTTAGGGGTGTAGGGCTTTATTGAGGGAAAGCGGAAGGGGGGTAAGGGGGTAAGGGGGTAAGGGGGGGGGTAAGGGGGTAAGGGGGTAAGGGAGGTAAGGAGTAAGGGAGTAAGGGGGGAAGGGGGTAAGGGGGTAAGGGGGTAAGGGGGTAAGGGGGTAAGGGGGTAAGGGGGTCAGGGGGCAAGGGCGTCAGGGGGTCAGGGGGTCAGGGGGTCAGGGGGTAGGGTAAGGGGGTACGGGGGGGTAAGGGGGTTAGTAAGGGGGTAAGGGGGTTAGTAAGGGGGAAAGGGGAGACCGACATCCTGAGGCCTTAAGGCAAGTCGTTTAGTTAAGGTTTAGGGTTTAGGGCTTAGGGCTTAGGATTCCTTAAGGTAAGGGGGTAGGATTAGGGGCGGGACCCTTGGGATGTAGACCATCTTAATAAGGTCCCTCCTTGACAGCACCAGAAGAGGGTTGAGAAGGGGTCCCCTTTGAAGGGTCTCCCGAACCCCACCTAGGAAAGTAAGTCGTTTCCAAACCCAAAACCCTAAGCTCCCAGGCCCCGAAAACCCTGAGAAGGTGTGGGGTTGATAGGGCGTACAGGGTGTATAGGGTTGGTAGGCGTTTTTTATTTCTAATCCCAGCCCCTCAAGCCCTAAAACCCTACACCCAAAAACCCGACCCCAAACCCCAAGCCCTAAGCCCCTAAACCCCTAAGCCCTGTGAAGCTCTAAGCTCTCAGGCACTCAACTGATGCACCTCGCCCGTTGCCGGCTTGCTTCTGGGGCCCCAGCGGCAGCTGGGAAAAAGCTCTTGCAACGCCTTGGCTTGCTGCTTCTTTCTTAGACTAGGATTTAGAGTTTAGGGTGTAGGGGTTTTAAGGGAAATAGGGCCCACTAAGCATGCCTCACAAGGTAACATAGGGGATGTGCAGGACCTGACTCGGGAAGGTGGGTGGAGTTCGGCGGGCTGAACTCAGCCCCCTAAACCAGAAGCCCTTTGAAGAAACCCTCTAAGCCCGATCCGCCCTCTAAACTATACATCCTCCAAACCCTAACTGCCTTAAACAGTAAACGCTCAACTCTCCTAGCTCAAGGGCCTACCTGACATTCTGCATACCTACAGTTTGGCAGCAGCTCCCCCCTAATTCGTAGGATAACCACCTGAACCTTTTTGAGGCCGTAAACCCTCCAAAGCCCTCACCCTTATTCCCTAAACAGACCCCTAAATCCCTAAACGCAAAACCCTCAACCGAAATCCCTAAACCCTAAACCTGAAAACCCTTAGTCCCCTAGAGTACAAAGGCCGTTGGCCGAAGGCTCTCAGGTCTGCTGAGCCGACGCTGTAGGAGGTTGAAGGGCTTAGGGCTTTGCCGGGCTTAGGGTCCTAAACCCTAAACCCTAAACCCTAAACCCTAAACCCTAAACCCTCAACCCTAAACCCTCAACCCTAAGCTTAAGCCCGAAGCGGAAAATGAGAGGGTGTTTTCGTGTAAGTGCATCGGGGTCCTAAGTGGACCATGTAGGTGGTTCTTCAGGCTCTCGCCTTATAGCTCTAAACCCTACACCCCTAAGCCCGAAACCCTACATTGAACTTTCCAAGAAAATATTCAGCATACCCCTCCTTAAGATACATTACGGGTATGGTAAAATCATTGATTGTATTCTCATTTTATAAGTTAAGGGGCATGGGTGTGGGGTATGTTGAATGGTTTAGATCATTGATATGCGCCATTTCCCCAAATAGGGGTACCCCTTTTTGCACCCGAAATACACTAGAATCCCCTTCAAAGGACCCCCCCAAAAAGGGTATCCCTGTTTTTCGGAAACCCCACATTTTGGTCTTCACCCTAATTAAACCCTAAACCCTAAACCCCAAACCCTAAACCCGACTCATGGTCTGCTGATAAAAAAAAGCTCAAGGCCCAAACCTTTCGTTCCGCGGCGGCGCCGCCGGGACTGCACCTTCAAAAGTTGAGGTTCGGAGGACGCTTGGACGGTTTAGGGTTTAGGGTTTTTAGGGTTTAGGGTTTAGGGTTTCGGGCTCCCTAAGCCTAAATCCTAAACGACTGATTGAGAGAGCTGCCTTTGTGGCTGTAGGGTTGCTTCGGGGTTTGGGGGTTTGCGACTTTTGGGTGACTCGAGTTCTCAAGTGAGCTAGGGCTTAAGGCCTTAGGGTTTAGAGGACTAGAGGATCTGCAAAAGTCTTCTCCTGGAGCTCTCGGATAACCAACTGGCTGTTGGGGCTAGAGAAACCAATCTACCCTTGCAAAAGGGTATAGGCCTTTGGGCACCAAAGCTCTGTATCTCCCAGAAACAGGACCATATATGTGGGCATTTCCCAGAAAAGGGGGTACCCCCGCAATTAATTTGCCCCCAACATACTATAAGCCTTATGAGCGGAATCCATGATGTTTTTAGGAAGCCCCAAACCCTAAACCCTGAACCCTAGTTTCGGAAGCCCCCATGCTCTGGTCGCAGAGTCTGGCGGCCGCCTGGGGGTGCCAATTGAAGGTCACAAGTGGTTTAGGGTTCACCTTAAGATTGTAAGTTACAAAACAACCCCTTAAAGGAGTATTGTACTAACCGCCTACAAGCATGTAGGTTTTGCGTTTGTGTTGTAAAGGTAGTGTCCAGGGCATGCCACACGTCCATCCAGTCGATAACCAACTCTCACCCTAAGCCACACAAGCTCAACAAACCTTGTAACCCTAGACTTGGGATGTTCCCCCCTAATACTCACAGTCCTGAATAGGTATTCTAATCAGGGGGGGGGGTACTATAATCCCTATGAGGGACTGCTAGTATAAGGGGGAGCATCCTAAACCCTAAACCTTCGACCCTAAATCCTGAAACCAAAGCCCGAACTCCCTAAGTCCTGAAACCAAAGCCTACATCCCTCAGCTCCTAAACCCTTAACTCCTAAACTCCTAAACCTAAACCCCTAAACCCCTAAACTCCTAAACCCTAAACCCTAAACCCTAAACCCTAAACCAGGGCCAACTAGGAACCCGACTTGGCGCGGCCGCCGACCACGGCGGCCACAATGAGCCTCGAGCACGACTCGACCCAAGCGAACAAATATTGAAGGTTTAGGGTTTAGGGTTTGGGGTTTAGGGTTTAGGGTTTAGGGTTTAGGGTTTAGGGTTTGGGGTTTGGGGTTTGGGGTTTAGGGTTTAGGGTTTAGGGGTTTAGGGGTTTAGGGGTTTAGGGTTTAGGGTTTAGGGTTTAGGGTTTAGGGTTTAGGGTTTAGGGTTTACGGTTTAGGGTGATCTAGGGTTTAGCTATACGTGTGAGGGTGTTGAGGCTTTTTGAGGGGTTTAGGGTCCGCTTAGGGTTGGGGCTTTTGGGTTTTTCAGGTTTTGGGGTTTTAGAATGTAGGGAATTAGGGCCTGGAGGATTTGGGTTTCGAACCCACCCTAAACCCTAAACTCTGGGTTTGCCTGGGACTTGCTTTACCTGCAGTTGAATGGGCTATGCCTACTACTTGCGGGTTAGGTTACGTACTACTAAACTGTAGGTAAAGAGAGCCCCAGGCACACCCTAAACCCTAAACCCTAAACCTCAAGACCAAAAAACACCCAAGCAGATCGGCGCCATCGAAAGGCGAAGAACCGAGGAAAACCAATGTAAACCCTAGACCCTACACCCCTAAACCCCTAAACCCCTAAACCCCTAAACCCCTAAACCCCTAAACCCCTAAACCCCTAAACCCCTAAACCCCTAAACCCCTAAACCCCTAAACCCTAAACCCCTAAAACCCCACCCTACCCCTGAACCCCCCCTAAACCCTAAACCCTAAACCCCCTAAACCCTAAACCCCCTAAACCCTAAACCCTAAACCCTAACCCCTAAACCCCTAAACCCCTAAACCCCTAAACCCCTAAACCCTAAACCCTAAACCCAAAACCCAAAACCCAAAACCCAAAACCCTAAACCCTAAACCCTAAACCCTACACGAGCCCCTTAAAGCCCCCTACAAACCCAGACAGACAACCTTGCACTATCTTCGCGGTGGCCTTTGCGGACCCTGGAGACGTTCGAGGATCTCCAGCACCTGGATTTAGGGTTTAGGGTTTAGGGTTTAGGGTTTAGGGTTTGGGGCTTAGGGTGACTGTTGCTTCGGTGTTGGGTTTTGGGTGTTGAGGGCTTTGGGGGTTCGGGGGTCTGGGTTTAGGGGCTTAGGGCTTAGGGTTTAGGGTTTGGAGGTTTAGGGTTTAGGGCTTTGGGGGTTTAGGCTTTAGGGTGCAGGAGTTTGGGGTTTAGGGTTGTTGAGTTTCAGACCTG